TATTATATTCTATGGTAAAATCATAGAACGCGTGTTTGATAACAATTTATACGATAAAAATCCCATAACAAAAACAAATAAATTTTATTTTGTCATGAATCATGGGTACTAAAAAAGTGTGTACCCTGAAATTGGATATATATATAGGCCCTGTCACAGAGCTAATATCGTTGGAATAATAGGCAACCTTATGTAGAAAAATCGAAAAAAGAGCAAATTCGAAGTTAGCTGATTGGAATGTTGTCTAGTACCCATGCCACAAGCGTTGACTTTAACATAAAATTACACGATTTATGAATCGAACTGATGTTATACGAGATTTTTAACTGAAGGCATGAATAAAACATGATTCTTTTTTGTTAAATATAATTATTAAAACCTTTTATTTTATTTCTTTAACTAGGTACGCGATCAGTGTTGTCAGTTAAATTTTTTTTAAAAAACTATGAGTACTATCACAAAAGGCCAGAAATCAGTTAAAAAAAAAAAAAATTGATTAACAACGAACATATTAACGCAAAAATAAAAAATAATTTAAAATACTTTTAAAATTGTTTGCAATTTCCATTTTTTTCTTTAGTAATTTTTTTTCATTTTGACTTTTTTGTCATATTTTACAAGTAATTAATATTATTAGAACATTAAATAAAATAAATAAAGATATTAAATAATCATAACTCATAGTTTATTAAATTTTAATGTTCTGAGCAGTCCAACATTAAAACAACAAACAAGTAAATAAAGTAAAAAGTAAAAAAAATAACAAAACAAAATTAATAGGTAATAACTAAAAAAATGTTAAAATAGAAAATTAAAGTCTTTTGAATCACGAATCTATAATTGTGGCACAAACTAAGATATACTAGTCCAAGGTGTAAAGTGATAAATATTAACTAGATATAAATATAAATCCGATTCGTAGTTAACAACCACAGATAAATATAATTTGTTATGATAACAACCATAAATATGGTATATCATATGGAGTGATAATAAAAACGAAGGGAAAAAACTATGACAAATATCAATGTCGTCGTGTAATATTATACTTATATACATCAACAATTAATTAAAATATATTATACATAACTTAAACCAGAGTTAAGCTAGTTAAAAGCAATTAATAGCTAGAAAAAAGCCAGGAGTTAGATTGGGTATTTTGTCGGTCAGATTGAAATGAAAAAGGCCAGATTTGGCCTTAAAAAGGCCAACATGGCATCACTGTATGCGATCGAGTTAGCGGCAGTTCGATACTAGCGGAATCGCGTCTACTCGCTGACTAATTAGCCGAAATATATATAGATTACCTATATAGTCGATATTGATGTGGGTTATGGATACGTGATTAGCATAATGTGAACTGTAATTATTACAGTGTAATAATACATGTAATCAAAACCACTAAATACCGAACAGTTTGTAGGTATGTTATAATCGTGTAATAACGGGCATTCCATCGAAAGACTAATAAATAAAATTAAAGCTGAAAACAATTCGATTCAAGCACGTAATTTAGGAGGGGTGACAGGAACGATCATCATTCCACCAAAGATCGTATTGTAGTAACTACGAATTAAGACACGGTACATACAAGGCCAGATTAAGCACCTATTGGGCCACGGGGCTGAAATTTTATGTGAGCCCTTTGAAAAAAACATGCTTTACAAAGCTGCTCGCTACACTCGTAGAACGATACATATTTTTATTTATTTTACAAATTATCAATTGCATTATAAAATTATAAAATTAATAGGTATATACAATTTATGTCAAAAAAACTACTAATTTTAGTATGATAAAAAATGTATATCGGCTTAAAATTATTTGGGCCCTCTTCATTTGGGTACTTGAGAAGGCCCCGGGACTACCACCCCGGTTAGACCTCCTCTTAATCCGGCCTTGGGTACACAACAATGTTTGGAACGATTGGAAAGGATTCCTGGAACGAATTATTTTTTAAAGAACGTTGAACGAGAGACACGTTAAACGAATTCATTTTTATAAAAAAAGAACAAGGAAATGAACAAAACTTTTTTTAAGAAAATAACGAAATTTTTCGAGTTTAAATTTTCACAAATTTGTTAAAATTTTCATTTAAAATATATTTTGTTTTAGTGTGTGTAATGCCAATCGTTATGATCGTTATCGATTATCGACATTAATTGATTCAACTAATTTTATTTAATCATTATTCCTGTTTCCTGTGACGTATTTACGGGGGAGGGGGGGGGGGTCCCGGGTCTCGACCCCCCCCCAGAAAAAAATTTAAAAAGTCATAAATAACTTGGTACGTAGGTACCGAGAAAGAGAATTTTCATTTTATATTATGGGTTTTTAATGTTTCTATTATAAAAAAAAAAATATATACAATATTGATTGTATAAATAACTTGGATTTAACTTTTGGTTATTTTTGTTGCGTCGTCGCCGTCCAACGACGATAACGAATCCGACGACGGCAACAACGACGGTAATTACTAATTTATAACTTCAAATTTAATTTACAAATATTGTTGTTTGATGTAACGTGTGAAATGAAAATATTAAAATGATCTAATTTTTATTTGATGCATTACTCAAATTTTTATACTTCCAAATTCACAATGCTTGTATACACTAGGTATACAGAATATTAATGCAGCGGTTCCCAACCCATGGGCCGCGAAAAGGTGGTACTAGGCCGTAAACCATATTATATTAACATTACTTACATACATTTTTAAAATATTAAATATCAGCAAATGAAGAAGATTCGTTGATTAAACTTTCATGTGATCAGACTCTAAAATCGTTTTTTAAAACTACACCATTATTACCATTCTAATTAAATATTCTGCAAGACTTTCCAGCAATTTCTAAAATTTCACTTAAAAACTTGATGGGCTGTATTTTGACAACCTGTGTATCTGTGTGAACGAGCTTTTTCTACTTTAATTTTTTTAAAAAAAAAAATGCAAGAATAAATTCAATTTTGAGTGATTTAAGGCTAAAACTTTTCATTTTTAATCCAGATATTGATTTTATCGTGGAGGATAATCCAAAATTACATTAAATTGTTTAACTCTTGAGTAATTTGGTTCAAGTTTTTTTTTTGATAAACAATTATTTTTTAATAAATAAATTGTAATAACTGACGTTTATGCACATTATACATATATAACTATTGGTGGGCCTCAAAGATTTTCTACAAAATTGGTGATCCGCACTACTAAAAAGGTTAGGAACCGCTGTATTAATGTATTTTATATATTATTCTAAATAGATCACAATTATGACTTCTAAAAAGCAACCCAATATTCAGTCTTTTTTCAAACCTCAAAAAGTTGATAATATACAAAATAATACAAGTTCAACAGTTTCAGGATCAGATACTGATATCCCTATGTCGTCCACGTCTCATATAAATAGACATGATATATTCAATTACTAGCTGACCCGGCATTGCTTTGCAATTGCTAGATTTCAGTATATTTATATATGTTTAGGAATATGTGAAAAGTTTGATATGAATTATGATATCGTGGTTTGATTTCAAGTCGCTGTCTTTGAAAAGTGCCATTGCGCAAGAGAAATCTGTGCACGGGTGATAATTTTATGCTATATGTATATTATATATAGTATATTCGGATGTATGGAACAAATAATTTTTTAATTTTTTAATTTTATTAATTAAGTTATACGAATAAATTGTATATTAAAACCTTCCCTGAATCTAGACCTAGTTAAAACTGAAAACTGTACTAAAATCCGTTAGGTACTTTTTAAGTTATGCGCGTACATACAAAAAAGGGGGTTCTATTATTAGATATAGATATAGATATAGATATAGATATAGATATAGATATAGATATAGATATA